TGGCGGCGGAGGCGTGGCGGTACGGGCGTTCTCTCCGGCATCAGGCCAATTTGTCACCGCTGCTCTTCACGGTGGCTATAGATCTGCTCCTACGCCGGGCGCGTCGCTATATAGCTGCATCCTGTTCACAGGCCTGGGGTGACGACTTGGCCATGATGCTCTGGGAGGGCATGGGCGGCCTGAACACGTTGCGGTCGTTCTTCCGGGATTTTGAAGCGGCTTCCGGTCTGGCCCTCAACATGGAGAAATCCGCATTGGTACCCTTGTTTCGTTGCGAACACGATGCTCGGCGTGTTCAAGTGGCTACGCCGGCCCCGTGCTGGGCTGACATTCGTATTGCGAGCTCGGCCAAGAAATGCCCCGGCTTCTTCGCCGACCCTGGGCGCCAGGAGAAATGGTGGGACGCCCCCTTGGCAAAGTATTTGGACAGGGCGAGGCTCTGAAGGCGGCCGGGTTTGGGCCTCGCCCTCACCCTGCAGGTTTACCAGCTCTGTATCGTGTCGGTCCTCCTCTTCGCGGGAAGCTGGAGGAGCTCCCGGCGCGGTGGCCGCAGGTGGGGCGCCAGGTCTGCCAGGCCCTCCTTCCGGGCCCCCGCTTGTGGATGTCGCCGAATTGCTTCGAGGGTCTCCGGAGCCTGCGAACGCTGGCGGCGCTGCTCGACGCCGCCAGCACGACGCAGGCGGCCAAGTTGAGGGCGGCGACGTTCAAGAACCCTCGTCACGGAGATATTCGCGCCGCGGAACGAGCGGTCGCACTACGCGCCCAGGTGCCCCACGGGGTGTCGGATGCAGTCTCGTTCGGGCACCTGGGCTGGCAGCAACAGCGGACGTGGCGGAGATTTCTGGAGAATCTGGGCACGGCCGCCGCCGTCTTGGAGCGCCGAAACAGCACCGCATCGAAAACAGCGAGGGCCCTGCTCAAGAGGAGTGGGTGGCAAGACCAGATTGCCCGGCTGCTCCGGGCAGTCCCCGTGAAGGCGGGCGTCATCAATGTATTGAGGAGGCTCCAGAGGTGGCCTCTCCAGACCCTGCCTGGCCACAGAGGTGAGCGAGCCATGAGGATCTTCAGAGTTTGGGACAAGGAGGCTGCCCCGAAAGTCGGCGCACCATATCTGCTCACCATCTGCAACGGGTGGTGCACACGGCATAGGTTTCAGACGAATGGTTTGTGCATTTTCGGGTGCGGCCGCTACGAGGATCGCATCGAACATTTTGCTCGTTGCATGGTTGTGCGGCAACTCACCCGCGCGTATTTTGCATGGCCGCCGCCTCCAGCGGAAGGGGCGTTCGATTTTTCGCATGCGGTCCAGCGCAGAGCTTGTTCCTGAGCGGTGGAGCTCTTCGGTCCTCCAGCAGCGCCTCTGCCTTTTCTCTCTGCATCGCCCTCGCAATGGCACTCGGCACGGGCATTTTGTGTCGAGGGGCCTTTGCGCAGTTTCTTCAGGGCGGGGCCCTTTGATATGCCTGTTTCCCTTTCCCTTTTTGTTTCTCCTCCTCCTCCTCCTCCTGCCCGTTCCCCGCCCCCGCTTGGAGGGGGGCCAGGGCCTCCTTGGGCCCCAAAGTGGCCCCCCGGGGGCCATTACTGGGCTCCGATTGTCTCCCACGCGGGTCGAAGTTCGGCATTCGTTTGGCACTTCCCTTCCCCCTGTCAGGTCGGTGTTGTGCTGATTCGGTATTGAGTTTTGGCCTGTTCTGGGGGCCTCTTGGAGCCGTTTTGGGTCCTCCCCGGGGCCTCTTAGGCTGTCTTGGGGGGCCAGGGGGTTGTTTTGCAGGGGGGCTTATCGACGGCAGCGTTGATATCGACGCTCGTCGCGCTCGTTCTTCCATGTGTATTTCGAGAAGACCCAGCGCAGACTCCTATTATAGCTTATTTAAGTTTCCCTTGTGCCTCGCTGATCTGGCACTGGATCGCGGGCGGACGCCGCCCCGCGATTCTCGCACGGGACGTGGGAGCATTCATTATGTCAGTTTGTGTCCTCTCTTGCTTTTCCTCCTCCTCATTTTGTCCTCTGCCTGCCCCTCTGGTCCTCACGGCCCCCCCAGCTCCAGTGATACGATTTAGGGTGAATTCGTATCGGCCTGCGTCTTCGTTATCGTTGTGCGTATTCTATAAAGTGTTGGCCACGTCGTGTGGGGTGCCCACAGAGCGTTTCTGTCCAGATTTCTGTCCCTCGCGTTCCTTCCCCTCCCCCCCTCGCTCACCCTCGTCATCCGCCCTCTTCTGTTTTCCCGGAAGTGTTGGGTCACCTCGGGCATACAATTTTCAAGTACCGCCAGTGGGCCGTCCAGTTTTCCTGACGCAGCGTCGTTCGGTAGCACTGTCTTGTGTGAGCCGACGCATTCGGACCAGATGATTCATTGACTGAGCTTTGCTGCGTCGCGCTACGGTGGGAAGAAACATTGAAAACATAATCACCGGATTCCGCTTGATCCCGTTGATTTGGGGTTGTTCCAGCGTAATGGCACCTCAGTCTGGTCTGATAGCCCTGAATCGTTTCGGGCGCTGCCAGGGCCGGGATAAGTCGTCCCAGAACGTATCGGAACGAATTCAGAACGTTCCAGGCACTCTCCGGAAGGGCCGCGGCGCCCGAGACATTCTCCAAGACCGCCGGATCTCAGAGATGTCCAGTGTATCCCGACGCCGAAGCCGTCGCCGTCGCCGAAGCCGACGACGACGACGACGACGACGACGACGACCGACGGACCGACCGACCGACGACCGGCCGACCGACCGACCGACCGACGGACGGGACGACGACGAGGACGACGACGATGACGACAACGACGACGTCGACGTCGACGACCGACGACCAACGACCGACGACCGACGACCGACGACCAACGACCGACGATCAACGACCGACGACGACGACGACGACGACAACGACGACGGACGACGGACGACGGACGACGACGACGACCGACGACGACGACGACGACGACGACGATCACGACGGCCACCGACAACGATCCGGCCCTGGCTCGGTCTCATCGATCCCACGAAGGCCTCGCAGCAGTTGCCTCCCCAGAGGCTGGGAGGGCTGGTACCCGTGCGCGGCGTCCGCGGCAGGCTCTGGCGGTGGCGTCGCCCGTGCCGCTGCCTGCGGCAGGAGGCCCCGCCAGCGCTCCTCTCGGCTCCGCCGTTTGCAGTAGATGAAGGGGTTCACGGACACACAAATAAGTAGACGCAAACCTCAGGATTCCCAGTCTTTTCGGGAGTTTCGTCTTCCCGCGCACCTCCCATAGTTTCCCATATTGGAGATGCCTTACGGCCGGTGCCGCCGACCCTGAACGACGACGACGGCGACGACGACGACGACGACGACGACGACGACGACGACGACGACGACGACGACGACACCACCACCGACACCGACACCGACACCGACGACGACGACGACGACGACGACGACGAAAGCGACAACGACAAGCGCTCTCGGGGGCCTCTTGAGGTTAGTTTTGGGGCCTCTTGGGAGCCTCTTGGGGGCCTCTTGGGAGCATCTAGGGGGCCTCTTGGGGCTTCCTCGGGGTCTCTTGGGGGCCTTTCGGGCCTCTTGGGAGGATTTTTGGGGGCATCTGGTGGTTTCGTCTTCCCGCGCAGTTCCCATAGTTCCCCATATTTTCCGGGGATTCGACACTTGTTAGTGTTCTTTTCCTTCCGAGTAACACAGTTCTTCCTCCTCCCCGTCCTTCTCCTGCAAGTCGTGCTGCTCTGTATCCTGCGCTCCTTTTCGCTCCTCTGCTCCTTTTCTCTCCTGCGCTCCTTTTCGCTCCTCTGCTCCTTTTCTCTCCTGTCCACCTCTTGACTCCTCTCCTCCTTTCGCTTCTCTCCACATTTTCGCTCCTCTCCTCCTTTTCGCTCCTCTCATTTAAAACGACACCCCCGAGAGGCCCCCAAACGACCCCCGAGGCTCCCAAAGAGGCTCCAGAATCAGTGAACTTCCGAATTCAGTGATTTTGAGGAGGCGCCCCAAACACCCAAAACGATCCCCAAAGGGGGCCGACAAAACCCCAAAGGGACCCCGAAAGGACCCCAAAGGGGCCCCGAAATGACCCCAAAGAGGCCCCGAAAGGACCCCAAAGGAGCCCCGAAAGGACCCCCAAAGGGGCTTCGGAAAGACCCCAAAGGGGCCCCGCCCGAAGGAACCCCAAAAGGGTTCCGAAAGGACCCCAACAGGACCCCAAAGGGGCCCCGAAGGGACCCCAAAGGGGCCCCGAAAGGACCCCAAAGGGGCCCCGAACGGACCGCAAAGGGGCTCCGAAAGGACCCCAAAGGGGCCCTGCACTGATTCCACAGGTAGAATCAGTGAATGTGCTATTTCACTGGCTCTACCTGTAGAATCAGTGAACTGCCCAATTCACTGATTCGAAAGCTGGTTTGGGGAAAATCAGTGAACTCGCAAATTCACTGATCTCAACTTCTGGTTTCACTGATTTTCGCCCTTCACATCCCCCTCTTCTCCTCCGCCTCTCTCCCTCCTCGTGCTCCTCGTCCTGGCTCAAGGCGGAGGCGGAAACTCCAGGCGTGACCTTAACTCGGCCGGTCATTCCTTATCCCGCATACCGAAACCATGCCTTCTGACACAACTCGTCTCCTTCAGTTTTCGGCTGGGGTGGCGACGTCGCGATGCCAGAGGATATTGAGTGCGAGCCCCTTGCCGATGTTCAGGGAGTTGCCTTCCATCAGGCTGCTTCGGCGGCCTCACGAGCTGGGGATGCCGTCGCCGCTGCTCTGAAGACCTCCAGCCTGATCCAAGAGCCCCCTGAGAATATCCCGAGATAGACCCGATGGCGCTCATGAAGAACATGTACATTGAGTTCAAAAGAGCCGAGGCCACATGATTTCAAAATGGCATTTCTAGTCAGGTCCAATCAGTTCGACTGACAGTGGATGGCCATGGCACGACGTTGGCGGACCATGGTGCACAGATCAATACGGTGGAAGTGCTTGCTTGAGCAAGGGCCCCGAGACACGAACGGGCCACCCACATCATTGCGAACATGGGCTGGGGCGTGAGAGACCACATCCTGGAAGAGACGGCCCGCGCCGTCTTGCAGAAGGTGGGCGCAGATCAGCCGATTAACCTCAGGGCGCCCTACGCGTTTGGTAGTGTGGTGGAGGTGACCTTTGCCAGCGATGAGGTCGTTAGGGCGTTGGCCAAGAAAATTCAAAACCTAGAAAGACCTTCCGTGACGGAAAGAGGATGGTGTGGATGGGACCGATTGATTCCAAGGCGGAGAGGGCACAAGCCAGAATTCGACACAAGGTTAAGGCCATCTTCGGCTGCGCAGTCAACTCTGCCAATTGGGAGGGCGAAGAGCTCGTCTTCTGCGACCGCCCCAGAAAGGTCGACGTCGGCGGAGTCTATCGGGGCAGATTCGGCGGGCTTCGGTTCGAGCGGGAGGTGACGTCGGAGGCCTCTGCGGCCAGACGTCAGGTGGAGACGCTGATCACTAGCGCTTGTGAGGGAGCCCAGCCGGCTGGGCCCGCGGCCGTGGTCTGCTTGAGTACTCAGGCCAGGGAGAGATCTGATGAAGCATTGCGGGCCGCGATTGCCGATCTCGAACTTGAGGCGTGGTGCATCGCAGCCCTTTTCGAGTTTGATCACATCCGTCGTGGGGAAGGCGACGATGCTAGACAGCCTGTGCCTAGTGTTATCCTTGGTCATTTGGTTATTATGGGAGGGGGATGTGGGCGTTTACTTTAGTAGTACAAAAGACTATCGCCATCGAGTGGAGGGCTTCGAGTTCTCCTCCAGATCTTGCAGAGTTGACCTGGAGGACACCGGCCCTGATATAGTGGTGGCAGAAGTGGTCTGGTTAGTCATGTTTCCTGTGGGCAGATTTCTGAGAGTTGAGCCGAGGTCATCCCACCAGCCAGAAATGAGCCGAGAGGGAATCGGCTTACATGGATTGGAGATGTGAGCGTTCACGTGCGATTCCCGAACTTACACATCTGGATGGAGTACCAGAGGTATCTTGAGCTTGTAGATCTTCACGGATTCCCTCACAAGTTCCTATCGGACCACCCGGGTTTCCAGCGTGCTAGGATATTCGACGAGGCTCAGATGGGCCAGCGTTCAATGTTTCATCATGTAGCGGTGTGTGCAGCTGATGTCAGCATGAGCCTGGCGGCCGGCGTCTCGTGGGAAAATACTCTTGGAGATCACGCCGCAGTAGCCGTGCAGCTGTTCGGCCGCGCCCGAAGGGCGCCGAGGATGTCGAGGCCAACGTGGACAACCAGGATTTGGAGCCAGACTCCTAGCTTGGCAGAGGAGACGTTCCCAATCGCCTTGGAGCTGGTTCGGGTTTCGGTCTCCCTGGGGCTCTCGGGCCGCGAGGTGCGAGGACACATTCTGGATGACGACTTGAGCTATGCGAGTTGGTCTCGACATTTCGCGGGCCCGGCAGAGGCATCCCAACACATGGACTCTGCTGCAACTCGGCGGGCCACATTAGAGCCCTTCTGGACTTAGTCGTTGCGTCAGCGTGCGCGAGTTTGTCTCGACCCTGAAGTTCGGAACCATAGGCAACGAAAACGGCCAGAAGACCGCCGAAGATCGCCCGAGGCAGATGGGTAACAAGGGGTTAATGGTTGAATACGTTCGGCGGCGCGCTCGGGGGGGAAGTGGGAGGGGGCGGGCCAGTTCGGAAGGCTCGGAAGCCATCCAGCCTTCTGAGAAGTTTTCTAAGCCTTCTCCAAGGACACCACACACTTCTCACAAGGCCAGAGGGCCTCTGAGGAGCCCCGCCGCCTTCTGATAAGGCCTTTTCCTTCGGGCGCGCCGCCGATACGTCGCGCAGCGGCAGTCGTTACCCCGCCTCCTTCGCCCTTGCCTCTGCTCGCGCCCTCGGCGCGCGCGGTCCGAGGCCGAGCGCCGGCCACTGCGGCGAGGCCCGCCGCGGGAGGGGTGCACCCGCAGAGGCGGGTGTGGGGAATTCGGTCGCAGATCATGGGAGCCCGGTGTACGCTGTTAATTTTTGGTTTCTTGCGTCGACTAGCGTCGACTAGCGTCTGGGAGTAGACGAGGTAGTGCCGACTTAGCGTCGGCTAGCGTCGATTCGCGCCGATCAGGCATCGATTAGCGTCGACACGCGTCGCTTAGCGTCGATCGGCGTCGATTCGCAAGAGCCGGCAAGATGGTGTGGGAGGCCCCCATGAGTTGCCACCGAAGGGTGGGGGGAGGGCATCCCGAACCCGGCCCCCGCCGCCCATCAAGCTGCCTGCATCGTGGATCGGCGAGAGCAGGGTTCGGACTTCGCCGCCGACTGGGTCCCCCTTCCCCGCTCTCCCCACGGGCAGCGGGCCTCCCCGTCGCGCATCCGCAATCCTTCCCAAGTTGGCGGCGCCCACGGGGGGGTGGAAGGAGGGGGGAAGTCTTTTTAGAAACACCCCGCGCGGGTCTTCTGCATAGATGTAAGGTCGGCGCCTTCTAAGAAGCAGCCTCCTGCAAAGAAGCCTTCCCCCCAGCCCCTAACACCATACACGCGCCGCCAAGGGTTGGGGTGGAGGAGGGAGGGCATCCCCAACCCAATCCCCGCCGGAGAGCATCCCCAACCCCATCTCCGCCGCCCATCGAGTTGCTTGGATCTGTGCCCCCCTTCCCCCCTCTCCCCACGAGCAGCGGACCTCGCCTGTCCCGTCGCTCATCCGTGTTCCTCCCCAAGTTGGCGGCGCGCACGAGGGGTTGGAGGGAGGGGGGAGGGCTGCTTAGCAGGAGGCTGCTTCTTGGAGGGCGCCGGCTCCTTTATAGAGATACAGAATAAGATAAGTTAGGCTTATGCTTTGTTCTCTTAGGGGGAGGAAGAGGAAGGGCGAAACTGGCGGGAAAGGAGAGGCTCTATGCCCGTGGGGGAGACGGCTGCAGGGCGAGGAAGAGGAAGGGGGGTGGAACCTGGGGCGAGAGGGTGCGGGGGAACGCCCCTCCGAGCTGATATGTGCTCTGTCCCCGGACTGCGCGGGGCAATGCGAGGAGAAGGGGAGGAAGGAAGAGCTGAAGCGGCAGCGCTGGCAACGCAAGCACCACCGACGGAAGCGGCACTGGCAGCGACAGCGGCAGCAACAGCCGCAAGAGCAGAAGCAGGAGGCTGAGCTGCAGAGCAGGACAAAAAGCAGCATGGCAGAGGGGACGCGCATGATGAGTAGTTACGCGGCATTGTTGAGGAATCAGAGGTTGCGGGGTGAGATCAACGTGAAGGGTGGTCGCCCAACTGGGACATCAATTCCGGTTTCGGTTCGTCTCGTGCGTGGGCCATCGAGAACCTCAAACAGTAAGTTTTTGCACGACGGATGTGCAAGTTGAGTGGTGTACCCATGTCGTGTTAGCTACGAAGTGCAAGCTATGTGGCGCAAGCTTGGTGTTGCCACCCACGTGGTGCAACGCGCGCGGTGAAAGCTATGTGGTACAGGTTACACGATGTAAGTTGTGTGCTCCAATCTACGTGGTGTAAGTTCTGCGGTGCAAGCTACAAGCTATAGTGTGTAAGCTGTGTGTGTGAAATCCGGTCACATCACTTTTCCATCCAGTTATCCTGCTACCGTCTCGGCTCAGGCATTGGAAACTGGTACCGCACCGTTTGCCCGCGGCGCCTGGGAAAAAGGGATCGCTACCCTTTCACCAACCTGCCTCTACCTACGGACATCCCAGTAGGTTCTACTCTTCGGTCTTCAGCCTACACGCATCGGTTACCAGCCTATTATAGTTCGCTCGCCGTTGTGGCACCCAGCATCGTCATTGACTCAGTCGCATGGCCCTGGACCCCACGGGGGCCAGTGCCTCTATGCGTGCTGGGTCTTCGACGGCGCGTGGGCTTTACGACACCACGGAAAGGGCAATGGGACCGAGCATGATACCGCAATCCCCCCTACCAGGCGAAGGCAGCCCCGACGCTCGAGTTAAAGCGGAGTTCGAAGAAGTCATGGATTTTTTCTCGCCTCTTGCGCCGGCGCTATCTCACGCTCCAGGGTTTGGACATAGCGTCCAGAGTCGACCATGACGTCTCCTGGCGCCACCTTTCGTTCGGAACCTTCGCCGGTGGAAACACCCGCGGTTGCCTTCGAAACCACCGCTGGTTCGCCTCGCCTCCTCCTCCAACCTTCGCCGGTGGAAGCACCCGCGGTGGTGGCGCCAGTGAAATGTATCCCCGCAGCGCTTCCGCGCGACACCGCCGCTGGGACACCAGGGGTCCTTCGAGCCCCGCATTAGGGCGGTGGGTGGTCAGACTCGGCGAAGCGCATGCCGAGATCAACGCCCCCACCGCCGCTGCCAGCGCCCGCGCAGACTCCAGCAATTCCACGGCCCAGTGCAAGCGGTCCTGCTACTGCCGAGCGCCCCCCGCCCCCGCCAGTGCCCGTGGTCGCGCGGCCCGCGACGGCAGCTGCGCCCGCGGATGCCGCGGCCGACCTCCAAGATGCAATCGCAGCGCAAGAAACATATATTTCTTCGCCTGGCATGTGCATGGCCGCCTATGCTGCGCCCGCGGACACACGAACACCGGTGAAGACGCCCGCGCCCACGCAGGATGCGCCCCCACCAAAGCTCCCACCAACCCAAGTCTTGCAGGAGACGGCCGGTGACCCTGAGAACGCCGTAAGGTGGAGGAGCATCGTGCAGACCTGCAACGATCAATGCTACGAACCGCTGGTACGAGAGCTTTCAGACGACTGCTGGAACCGAGGTCCGAGGTATACAAGTATCAATGCCCGGCCTTGGGGCTCATCTCGTTGCAGAGCTCTCAATGCCCCATGGCCGGATGGAAACGTCAAGTGTGCCATTGCTTCGGCGAGTGAAGAAATCTTTGGCTCTGTGATCGACTTGGTCCACGCTGGCAACTACATTGCGGTTCAGATACCGCTTCGCTGAGGGACCACGCTGGGCCAACATATGGTACGACGATCGCGGAAATGAGCAGATCGGAGGTGCGTTCGCACATCTTGTTCATGCTGATATCCCGACGGGATGAGTACCACCTTCTCACATTGCGACATGGAGGAACACCTTGGCAGCCCCATCGCAGAAACAGTCGTTGATGTGCCAGTGGAAACAGCTGCGCCACACAGCACTGACCCTACACAGGCCGACCACGATGACGATCAGGCTGTCAAAGCGGACGAGAAGATGATCATCTCTCCGATCATCGATCCACCTGAAATGTTTGGGTAACGACCTTGGCGAGGCTGACGCGATTCAGAAAACCACGGAATCAGGCACCTGCACTTAGGAATCGCAACAATTTCTGAACATATGAGAATGCGAGTTTACCAGCACATCACATATCTTTTATGAACGCGGCAAGCATACGTGCACTACTCATATCGATACCTTGTCTTTGCCGCATGAGAACGGATATGCAGTTTTACAACATAGGATTTGACCATCGCAGCGCATGGGCATTCGAGCTGACAAATATTCGTGGTCATGTGCGGTTCTTACATATTCTGATTTTGGTACCTGGAATACGAGTACGATGACGAATGCAGTTTATCCCATTGGATCTTCATATCATCTGCGGCCATATCAACCTACACCCAAGAACGCATGGTCGAGGCTCCCCGCGTGGATATCCATCGCAACCATCCAGACTCCTTGCCTTGCGAATGTTACCGGGAGACACGGTTGCATCCGACGCGAAATTCCAAGGTTACCTGCAATCCGACTCACCCATGAACAGCGACCAGACGGATGCGGAGACTGCCGATGCACTGCGACATGATGCGCGTAATCCTGAGGCTGGCGCCGACGGCGCACCGCGCCCCTCTGCGCCTCCAGGACTCGCACCTAATCCAGGAAGCTCCGCTCCCGCCGCCGCCCCCACCCAGGAACAAATCGTCGAGGTACTCCGTGCGGATTCCGACGACTACCTGGAGGACGACGATAAGGTTGCGAAGGAAGCCGTGCGCATCTAGCAGGCCAATTAGATCATCGCCGGGCATCCTGGCACGGCCTCGGCACCTCAGTCTCGCGGACACATTTCGGCGGGACATCGTTCCGATCAGATGACTGGTCAGAAATTCGGATAGTTCGACCGATCTTGCCACCGATAACGGATAACGCTAATGCGATCCCCGATCAGGCCCTCTGCGACTTCGGACGCCCATTGGGCGGCGGTGGAAACACCCGCGTGCTCATCGGGGCACTCATCCAATCTGGAGCAGGCGAGATTCAGACGGAAAAGCGGAGCTGCGACACATGTTTCCGTGAGCTCCTTGTCAACGACAGCGACTATTTCTGTAAGATGTGCGCGAGCGTTCTCGTTTTCGGCGAAGTCGGCGAGGATCAGGCCGCCTTCGTTCCGGGCGTCTATTGTCGGATCCGCGATGATCTGAGCCGTTGCGTTGCGGTGCAAGTTATGCGCGCAGACGTGGCCGTCGGATTTACAGGCCAGCGATCCGACGTTTCGAAGGATAGAGATTGTCCTCGGAGGCTTGCTGCTAGAGCCGGAAATTGGCGCCGCAGATGGATTGATAATGGATCGC